GGGGATGCAAATCGACAATTTGAGGGGGGGGGGTGCAAATCGAAAGTTTGAGGGGGGGTGCAAATCGAAAATTTGAGGGGGGTGCAAATCGAAAGTTTGAGGGGGGGGGGTGCAAATCGAAAGTTTTGACCCCGGGTGACGGGAAGGGTACGCCTCTGGAAGGAGTTTGTCGATTTAAAATAGGTGGTGCCCGCCACCCTACCGAAATTTTAGAATGTGCTCTAGAGTAAAAAAAAAGGTTGGGAACCCCTGAACTAGAGAATGCCTACCTTTCTTTGCAGTGTGTTCCGTACTGAATTGAAATCATCTAATTTATGATAAACTCGACTACTGGATATACTCTGCTATATTCACAACACATATTAAACATCGATACCTAAACATAACTAGACTCGATTCTCCAGAACTACGACACCAACTCGTCAACTCTCATAAAGCTCTACAAACGGTACTCCCAATCAACAACGATTTCACTGGAGCTACTACTACACTTTAACAGTCCAATAATTCGTTACCTCAATACCACAAGAATCAAACTCCCGAAGTCCAGAATTACGATACTTCATCACCTACATTCTCATTTCTCTACTACCAATCAGATTCCACTAGACCCTCAACTACACAACAGCCAAATAAAAATACGACTCTTTAACACTTAGATACTTTATACCTACGAAACCATATCAGCATCAGCCTTCCGCCGTTACTCCCAAATCTAAACGATTCATCAAAACTTACCAAACAAGTGACAATACTTTGAACACGCCGTCATTACAAAGCTCTATACACCGGGACAGATTTCTAATTCAAAGTCGGATAAAACGAGGTTTACAAGCCCTATTAAAATTAGATAATCGTTTGGAATGTTCGAAATTTAAATTACGAACTTATTTAATCGTTATCGACATCAATTATGAGACACCAAATTAAAAAGGCAAAGTGACTGGTAAAAAGCGCCCCGAACTTTTCAACTTAGGGAGGTGGGTTTGCATTTTCACCATCGCGAATAAATATAGACCTATACAGACCTAATTATGGGGTGGAGGTGCAACATTGATAGTTCGTCCTGGGTGCCGAAATAGATTGCTACTCCTTTAAAAATGTTATTAATTATTAGGTACTTTACGATAATAGCGATGAAAACTTTTGCGCCCCCTAGGGATGGCGCCCTGGCGACCGCCTAGTTCGCCTTATAGGTAGCGCCGGCAATGATGGTGACGCGGAACGCAAGAATGTGACGTTTGAGTGTAGGTTCGTTGTTGCCGGGGAAAGAAGTAAAAAATAGTCTTGTTCTTGTTGTGTTTAAGGTGAGATCGTAAAGTAGTCCAGTCTTATTATCGTTCCATCAAGCCGTCCTATGTATTTTTTTATAGTGCAGTAAAGTATACAGTTAAATATCTTTCTGTTGAATCATGTATATACGTTGATGTCGTCGTGCTTTAGGATGAACTATTGAATGGATAGACAGAATATTATAGTAGTGGAAACCCTCTCACTGTATAGCAGCGGGATACACAGACACCAGCTATAACACTGAACGTATAATGAGCAATAGCAGTGGAAGCCGACCTCCATAACAACGATCTGTGCATGCCTAATCCAGTGGCGTAGGCAGGGGGGGGGGTTAGGGGGGGTCATAACCCCCCCATAGACCCCTCGGTATATATATAAAAAGTATGAAGGGGGGGGGTGCAAATCAAAAGTATGAGGGGGGGGGGGTGCAAATCGAAAGTTTTAGGGGGGGGGGGGGTGCAAATCGAAAGTTTGAGGGGGGGGGGGTGGGGGGTGCAAATCGAAAGTTTGTCCCCGGGTAAAAATTGGAACCCCCCTTGAGACGATCCTGGCTATGCCACTGGCCTAATCTGTTATTAATTGTTAGTGATAAGCTTTATAAAGTTTTTCTGTTTGCAGACAAGATAGCACCGGAAACATCCAAGAAGTTGAATTTTTTCTAGAAGTTAAAGTTCCATACAATTATAACTAAAACATTGACTCATATAAATGCACATTTATTTGACCGTGTATTATGTATAAAAAAAATATCCCAGAAAATATATCGTTTTAGTAATGCGGATATATGAATAGACAGAACGTTAAATTTAGGGTTTGGCTGCCTACTTCAAAATAAAAGTTTAATCTACCAGTCTTTTTAGGAAGACTTCATACTGTCTAATATACATCAATAACTATATGCAGAGGCGTAGCGAGGGGGGTGCGGACCGCACCGGGTGATACCATTTAGGGGGGGGGGGGTGACACGAAGGCAAAAAATAGCAAAATATATAGAGAAAAATGATAATTCCACTTAATTGAGTGATTAATTCGAGTTTTAAATAGTCTTTTAGCTTTTAGGAGGTGCAAATCGAAAATTTGAGGTGGGGGGGGGGGGGGGTGCAAATCGAAAGTTTGAAGGGGGGGGGGGGTGGTGCAAATCGAAAATTGAAAGTTTGTCCCTGAGAAGGATCGCTACGCCTCTGGGGGGGGGTGACACCATTAAGTGCCGCACCGGGTGACACCCGACCTCGCTACGCGACTGACTATATGTACTATATCTAGCGGTCATTGTTGGGTGGTGCTCTGTCTGCTTTCGCCATCTATGCAACATGCTTGTTGATAACTTATGGACTTCAAGTTGGCTATTCTACTTTTTAATTAATATCAAATGTCATCAATAGTTTGCGTACACTAGCATGTAAACAACTATCCAGGCTAGTATATTAAACCTCTACCACTTAAGCATCTCTAAATGACTACTTTAGTGAGCGGAACACGAGACTACACAAAACACATCAATGCCTAGTATAAATAAATTAAATAAATTAAATATAATTTAAGGGTAGAATAATTGAAGTATACACTTAGACTTAGATGTTTGGCTGCGCTATTCTAATGAGTTG